ATTTACATTAAGTTATCTCATTCTAACTATAAGGTATGGGATCAAATAAAAAACTAGTACTTAGTACAAATTGAACTTTCTTAATTTCGGTTAAAAAGTTTAATTTTAGATAAAAGGAGCTTTGGCATTATCGGGGTGGGATTGGGAGGCCCAACTTTTTACCTCAGGATCCAATTTTTACCGATTTAAAGAAAGTAAGTGTTTTTAAAATGTTTTTGTGAGTTTTTAAATATAAAAATGTTTCATTTTCCGAAGAGTAAAAAACTTTAGAATTTAAAAAATATCTAAAAATATGGATTTTTCGATCAAAAATATCGATTTTAGAGAAAAATTTTATGATTTGCTAGGTTGTTAGACAGTTTTACACGTGGGAAAATTAATGATATTAAGCTTAGCGCACTGTCTAGACCCCTAAATTTTATATAAACTATCGAATTACAACCCTTGCCCCGCGTCTCTGATTGTTTATGATGGAATGGTGCTAGGAACACTAGGAAACTATTGACGATATGGCACGGCTATTGACTATTTTCTCGTTGTTATATACTTTTCATTGCACTACAGCTAAAGGTATCGCATTTTTGGGTTTAAAAAACCTATCCGGTTTTCTAAAGGTTTTTTTTGCAGAATCAAACATCAGCGACTATCAACTCGAAGTGTCAAAGCTAGAAAAACGTCTCTTTACCGACTACGATTCGAAAGTAAGTGTATTTTTATTTTTTTGTCCTCACGTCCTCGGGTCCGCCCGAAATCCGGTCTGCATCTGCTCGCGAAATCGATCGGAATTCCAGTAGCGGACGCGACCGGATTCCACGTGGAAATCGACCGGATTGCGGGTGGATGCGCGGTAAATCAGTTGGAAATCGATCGGATCCGCCCGGTTTCCACTCGATTTCCATTTGCCGCGTCGCGTGCGGCACGCGTTGCGTCGTGTTTCCACTCGATTCCCTGTGCGTCCACCCGAAATCCAGCCGATTTCCATGCGTTCCACCCCAAAACCAGGTGGAATACAACAGGATTTTGGGTGGACCCGAGGACCTGAGTCTATACTTTTGCTTTTTAGACACCCCCATCGCCGCAGGGAGCCGGAAAACCAGTGGTGGTAAGAGAAGACATAGTCTATTTTTTTCGTAATCTTTCCATATCTTTACAGGTAAACCTACAACTCCACTGCACCCACCTGGCCGTCCCAAAAGGCGATGTGGCCACCCTGAAATTCCATGGAACACTGTTTTATGTAATTTTACATTTTACTAATTTATATATTTTATCTATTAGATTATATACTTTATAGCTTGCTTTATTTTATGTAATTTCTATTCTCATTTATTGCAGCGCTGGGTAGACGATCGTCTTGGCTGGAACCCGGCCGACGAATCCGGCCAAAAACGCATACTTCTATCAAGTTTTTGGAAGATTTGGAGACCAACGATCGTTCAGCAAATGTCGTCAGTAACTTTCGTACTTTTTGCTGAGCTCTTTTGGTACTGGGCTTTTAGCGGGGGCGGCAATCTAGCCGATTCTTTTACGTTTTTCTCTGGGAATTTGGTGGTTTTAATAGTTTTTGGGTACTAAAATGAAATGTTTTTTTGCTCATTTTCGGACAATTTTTAACAAAAATAAACTTTTTGCAAAATTAGATAATTTTTATAAAGTTTTAATTACCAAAAACGGCGTAAAAGCCGTAAAAATAGTTAGGTTACCCCACTCGTTAACAGACCCGTACCCATCTTTTTATAGCGGAATCCACAAGGTCCTACAGCCGTCGAAAACTCCAAAAGTTACTGCTGTGTTACACGTTGATGATGCAAATCACTTCCAGGTAAAGAAATCTGTATAAAATCTCTCATTTATTATCGAGGTTATGTTGAATATAGGAAACTAGCCCCCCCCCCCCGTTAACCTACCAGAACCGAAGTGCTCTAGAAAGCAGCCGTCGATTTCCTGCACGAGGTCGAGTTTGCGATACCTTGCCAAGTCAGCGGAAAATACCCGCGGGAACGCTTGGAGTAAGTTTTCTATATTTTTAGCCCACTAGTCGCTAAATTCTAGATGTTCTTTCTTCCTCTACTCTTATCATCCATCAAAAGGTGTCGTATTTGATGAGCAGGAGGGCTATGTTCTATTTTCACAATTTACAGGTAACCTTGAACATCGTAGCTAACCTTAAAAATTGTATTAAAATTAGGTGCTTTCGCATCATCGGGGGGCCGGGGGCGAGCTTTTTTCTTTAGAATCGAACTTTTGCTAGTTCAAAATGTGAAAGATATAACGTGTCCTAGATAAATCCAAAAAGATCGAATTGTCGACCAAAAATAGCGAATCTCACGAGTTTTCAATTTTTTATAGATTTTCGACTTGAAATAGAATTCAATTTTACTAAAAACAATATTATAACAATTATTATTACGTCAATACACATTTCTGGAATTCGCCCCCTCCCCCCGAGAATGCAAAAGATCCTAAAAAAATTAATGCTATATGTTTCCAGAAAGTATCGATTGGGATCCGGTGGAATTTGGGGAATGGAGCCTCGAATCTTCGTCCCAAAAGCTAATGGGCTACGAGATCAAATCGGCAGAGCTTTTTGAAAAGTCAACAACAACGGCCTATCAGCGGTAACGAACCAAAAGATACTAAAACTCAATTAAACTAGACGAAAAAACTTTAAACTAACTAAAAACTTAACAAAATAACTAAAAAACCCTTCTAGAAGCGCCCTGGTCGTCAAGCTAACAATAAATCGATCGTCTGCTTCAAGAGCGTTATTGACATTTGTGCCGATCTTGATTGTCAATTTAATAGTGGGAATTTGTTAGATTTTTAACTACTTTGCAGCTTATTTGCGGCTGGATATTCCCACAGCCATATTCGACGTGGATGTCTGCATCTACCGTTATAATGTTATCCACAGTCATTCGAGATGTCCAATCGACAATTCCGCTGTATGACAACAAATTGAATGGCATTGGTGAGTTCCTTCAGATTATAAAACCTTAGAAGGAAGCATTCTGGGCTCTTTGCGGGGGGTGATTCCTAACGGGAGAGCGTTTTATAGCGTTTATTGTACAAAAATTTTCAAGGTGTTATAGTATTTTTAGTAAGTTTTATGATGAGAGAGAGAAAATTCGGAAAGTTTTTAAAAATGGAATGTTTTACCAAAAATCCACATTTTTCAAAACCTTAACAATTGTTCTTTAGTAACTTACTGGCTTAAAAACTACGTAAATATCTATAAATATGCGTTTTTTTGGGTGATGGCTTCAATCTAGCCCCCCCCCCCCCCCGCTAAAAGACCAGAACCAAATCGTAATTCGAAATTTCAGCGCTGACCATCGTATTTTTATGGGTATCGGCATTCATGTCCCTGATCACCCACCAAATCCTAAACCTCGCCCGGGTACGCCGCGAATCCGTCCGCTTATTGCCAATACTCGAGCGAATGCCCTTATTTACACGCTTAGAGACACAACTGCTCAATCGGGCCGACAGAGGTTTGTATAAGCTTTTTAGGCCCAGTAAAATCGACATGGCAAAGACCTCTACTAAAGATTATCGCCTTTAGATACGAAACAACTCCAGCTACCCCCGGCCCAAATCGTCTACCCGCTGCTCATCATTGCCATCCTGCATTTGATCATAGTTCCGATCCTTTTATTCTAATGCTTGAGGATTGAAAACTAATTAATATTTATGATTCTACCAATTTTTTTTTTTTTTTTTTTTCCCCCTTCCCCCCCCTTTTTTTCCCCTCCCCCCCCTTTTTTCCTTTTTAAAAAAAAAAAAAAAAAAAAATTTAAAAATTAAATTTTTTGGGATAATATATAAAAAAAAAAATTAAACCTTAGAGGGGGGCCCACCCAAGGCCCTTATGTATAAAAAATGGGCATTTTAGAAAAAACATCATAGGGCCGTCAGCCCAGAGTGGGCGGAGCTGGACAGGGTAACACCGGTACAGACAAGACCAACCCTAATTGAACACCATCGTGCGCTCTCAATCTACCACAGCCACCCAGAAAGCGGAACGTCTCCTCGTCAAGCTACCTTTTTGGACCATAGCATGGCGTTTTCTTTATTACCATGAATTGAAAAAAACGAAGAGATACCTGGTTTTGACGATCTTTTCGGAAATCGGTACAAAGGGTTTGTCATAAGAACGTTGCTAGTTTTTTTCAAAAACAAGACACCAGTCGAATACATACATAACTCTAGTTCGGAAATTTCCAAATATCTGAAAGTACATTACAATCATAAATTGTTACTCTGTAAAATGGCACTCAATCAATCGCCAAAATTTTAAAGGGGATTAGAAGTTTGGATCGACCCCTCAATTTATTTTATTTCAATTACGCACGCGCGCTGTACGTGTATAGGCGCGCCTCGTAACCGGTTACGCCATGCCACACGCCGAGCCATTTTTCGCGCGAAAAAGTTTTACTTTTTTTAGAAATGATGCCTTTCGAGGCCTAAAACAAGGCTAAAAACCGAAACTCGATACATCCTTTTGGCAGAAGCCAGCAAAACGGCTGACCGCGACACTTTTTCGCTAGTCCCCGCCACAAATGCGTCACCGGCCTGCCCCCTTTTTTCAATTTGAAAGGGGCGCTGAAAAACATGGTGCCGTCTGGGCTCTCTTTGTCTGACAGCCATCCTCCATCCATCCACACACAGCCACAGATTCCCCTTTTGCCCTTTGATATCTTTGCCCTCGGACCACCCATCCGCTGTCTACCGTCAATCTTGACCCATTATAAAAACTCTTTCCCGCCAATATTATCTCTGATGACCTCTCGTAACGGAATTCCTCTTTCTTATCCTTCTTCTCCACTTCCCCTTTCCGTTCCTCTATTTTTCGGGCTTTTTCGCGGGAAATTATTTCGTTTTTAGGTAATATCGCTCCTCCTTTGGGGCCTCTATCCCTGGTTTCAAGCTCGGTTCTTCTTCCGTAAATGGTTTGCTTTGAGTTTTTGATAAACCTATGTTTTTGCCAGGTTCGTGAAATGGCGGAGGTGAAGAAACAGATGAAATACATCCTTGTCACCGGTAACCTGTTAATTTTAGCCCAAAAAAGGTGTAATTTTAGGTGGTGTGATCAGCGGTGTTGGCAAAGGAATCATCTCGAGCAGCATCGGGGTGCTGTTGAAAAATAATGGATATAAGGTTGTTTTTTGTTTTTAAAGTTTAATTTTTGGTTTTAGGTAACCGCCATCAAGATAGACCCGTACTTGAACATAGATGCCGGAACCTTTTCTCCATATGAACATGGTATTTTGCGTTTCCCACTGGCATTACAGCGTAATTTAGGCGAAGTTTTCGTTCTGGACGATGGCGGCGAGGTTGATCTGGATCTGGGCAATTATGAGCGTTTCCTGAACGTCCGCCTCACACGCGACAACAATATAACTACTGGGAAAATGTTTAAACATGTTGGTTTCGTGAAATCTAAATGATTTTTTGTGTTTAGGTGTTGGAAAAGGAGCGGAGGGGTGATTATTGCGGGAAGACTGTTCAAATGATTCCGCATTTCACGGATGCTATAATTGAGTAAGAGTTGGCTTTAGGAACTGCTAATTTTTGCTTTAGTTGGGTGGAGAGGGTGGCGAAGATCCCTGTGGATGGCACCACTGATGTTCCGGATGTTTGTATTATAGAGGTATTTTAAGTTTGATTTATGAGAATCATATTTTTAGTTGGGCGGCACGATAGGAGATATCGAGGGAATGCCCTTCCTTTCGGCTTTCGAAAAATTCCAGCGACCTCGTTTCAAGGTAACAATTTAGATTTTAAAGACCGTCAGAACGATGAAATTCCGTTGAATGCAAGAGTTGCGCACCGGGCGGGAGTCGAAGCCGCGATGGTTCGCTCCACAGTCCGACGCGCTAGCCACTACACCACAGGGCCAAGTGGGGAAGGGAGTCAGAGGCGCCCCAAACCCCAGAGGGCCTTTGCCCAGTACGGGGCACGACAAATGACGCATCTCTCCGCGCGTTCGGGGGCCACCCCGGGGTGACATGGGTTCCATCGTTCTGGTAGTTTTAAAAACGCCTTTATCTTTCTAGGATCACATGATGAACGTCCACGTTTCCCTAATTATGCACCCCGACGCGACTGGAGAACCGAAGACAAAGCCAATGCAGAATTCGGTCCGGAATCTGCGAGGTTCGTTAGTACCCCCTGTGTTTTCGGCACGCTATCATTGTCCAATTTTACGACCCATTGTTTAGCGGCCGGTCTGGTGCCCGATCTGCTGATCTGCCGGTCAAGCCAGCCGCTCGAGTTTCGATTGCGCGAAAAGGTGGCCGCTTTTGGATTGGTGGATTTGGAGCAGGTACGGTTTTTTTCCATTAAAATACGTTATGTATATTCATGCGTAAAAATCCCGTTATAAGTTTATAAAATTTGAAGTATCCTGTTGACCGTTCCTCACACATTTTAGATCCGAAACCACGAAAATTTTCCTTGTTTTTTTAGGTAATTGGCGTACATGATGTCAGCAACATCTACAAAGTGCCCCTCCTCCTGCAAGATCAAGGCGTCCTCGACCATGCTGTTCACAAGTAAAACACTAATTCCGTTTTAAACCTTTTCCTTACAGACTCCACTTGCCAACTGTCCCGACCCAAGTCGTCCGCTCGCTCCGCTTCAACATGACCCACTGGTCGAAACTCAGCGAATTGTAAGATTTTGGATTTACTACTTATTATTGTTTTTTCTCTACAGGATCGACAGCTACTCGGAAGAGGTCCGGATCGCACTCGTCGGCAAGTACGTCAAATTCGAAGATGCCTACGCCTCGTTGAACAAGGCGCTTTCCCACGCAGCCATCCACAGCAAGCGGAAGTTGAAGATCAAGGTGGGAGACTCAAAATACTTTAGAAAAATATCTATTTCAGTTCGTGGACAGTGAACTGTTGGAGATGCCTGTGAAAGTCGGACATCAGGCTCAGGCTGACGCGGCTTGGGAGGCTGTTCATAATGCCCAGTACGTGTATTTATTTTATGCTTTGAAAAGGATATCTTTCCAGCGGTATCATCGTCCCAGGAGGTTTCGACAAGCGCGGCGTCGAAGGTATGATCAACGCCTGCAAGTACGCCCGCGAGAATAAGGTTCCTTTCCTAGGTGAGTCGAGCTTATCCTGTCAGTAAACGTTTATTTTTAGGTGTCTGCCTCGGAATGCAATGCGCCGCTATTGAATATGCGCGAAATGTGCTCGGGATTGAGGGCGCCAATTCGACGGAATTTCAACAAGACTTGACTGAACGTCAAAAGGTAAATTGCTTGTTTTATTGCGCGGGAGAGCATTTTCTTCGAAATTTTATATTGCTCTGTCTTACCCATTATCCCTTTTTTCGAATGATAGTTAGACGCAAATTTTTAGAAAACGTGAATTTTCGGAAATTTAGGCTTCGAAAACGTGAATGGATATTTTGTCTTAAAAATAAATGCCCCTTTCAGGTTATCATTGATATGCCCGAGCACGGTGTCGCCTCTAAGGGATTGGGCGGAACGATGCGGTTGGGCAGTCGTACGACAGCCTTCCTCACCCAGGACTGTGTCCTACGTAAGTTTTTTTAAACAAATAAATTCATAATTTTTGAATTCTCTTATTTTCACTGTTTCAGGAAAGCTGTATGGCCGTGATGAAGTTCAGGAGCGTCATCGTCACCGCTATGAAGTGAACCCCAGCATTGTGCCCGAGTTGAGCCGGCGAGGTCTCCTCTTTGTCGGTAAGCCTTGACTTGGTTGGCCAATTGGCTTTATTTTAGGCATGGGCGTCGATGAATCGAACATCCATGAAGCTGTATTGGCCACCACGAAATCGTCGGCCGATTTGATGAAGATGGCACATGATCAGCAACGTAAAGAGGTACACCTTCCTTTAATTTGCTTGTATCTGTGTTTAGTCGTTGCTCGGAAAAATTACCGAACTGTGCCACCGAGGCGGCGATGGCGTCGTGCGGCCGGCTGTTCGAATGGAGATGCTCGAGCTTGAAGGTGGTTTTCGTTTTTCGGTTGTTCCAAGATCCCGTTATTTCAGGACACCCCTATTTCGTTGGGGCCCAGTTCCACCCCGAATATCTGTCGTTGCCGTTGATGCCGTCTCCGCCATTCCTCGGGCTGCTTCTTGCGGCTAGTGGTCAGCTTGAGGTAAAGGTTTAGAGCTTTACCGCTTATGAAAATAATTTTTTGTATAAGAATTGGTGTTGCTCGTTAGCTTTTGACTCTTTTGTGAAATATTTCAAAACGTTTCAGGTTAAAAAAATTTAGAACTGTCTAACAATCGAAAAACACTACAGCAGCAAGGAAATTAGCCCTTCCCCCCTACCGGACTAGTACCTTTACAATTTTGTTCAGAGCTCCCTCACCGACGTGGCCAAGAATGAAAACTCGCTGAAGACGGTGGCCGGTGAAGTCGTCGAGGGTTTCTCCAAAATCTCCCTGAGCGCCTGAATTTGACCGGTACCAGTGGAATTCTGCGTAGCCTTATTTTGTTCTGCCTTATCTCCCTTGTTGTCACTTGATTCACGTTGTTATTGTTGTCGATGACCATTGGTTCGTTTTGCCCAGTTCAAAATTGTCACCCGCCCGCCCCGCCTTACTGTAACTATCTTGTTAATGAATTTTTAGTATGTGTTTTCAGGGTCAAGCGCAATATTTATGGGAAATTAAAGCCATGGCACGGTATCACAACCTATTTGGTAGCCGAGCTGATACCCAGGCGGGGGTGCTGGTTCGTTAGCGGGGGGCTACCATTCAAAACCCTTTGATTTTATGGTGGATAGAGCGGTTTCCGCTTACTGAAATTACTACATAACTGCTGTAAAAGGAAAAAAGGAATTTTTTTTTGGATACATTTTTTACCAACCGCCATAATTTTTCCATTTTTTATATAAATTTATATAATTTAAAGGGATAACGACGGCATAAGTAATTGGTGACGCGAGGGAAAAAATGTCTCTGCGTCTCGCCCCTGGGCGCGTTCTCTGCCCTGTTGGCTACGTGCCAAAAATTCGATCAGGGCTGATCGACCTATGCCTTCGGTAGCCCTTTAACATAAAATGCTATTATAGCGTATTGTTCATCAAAGACCCCCCCGCTAACGAACCAGTACCCCAAGCAGAATCACAATGTATTAGACGTATTGTAATGTTACAAATGGCTCAATTATAATTGATCAAGATGGTTGACGGCCCGAAGAATCCCTTGGTCAAAATATACCGGGCGAAGCGGGGGGACGACTTCTACACGCGGACTGGCTCCTTCTTGCCAGGCCACCTGAATTCATTGCATTTCCGGCTTCGTCCCCCCTCCTTACCCTCTCCACCCCGCAATTGTGTGCCTTGATCGTGTCGTAGGTGATGTCCACGAGGTTTTTGTTGGCAAATTGGATATTTGTTCGGCTGCAAGAATGGATTTAGCGGTTTGAGCTTCTTTTTTTGTTCGTTTTTCGCATTATGGGGGGAACGATTTTGATTTCCTACAAGCCGGGAAATGCGTAGTAACTTAACAATAAGTATTTTTATAACGTATTTTACAGGACTAAACCATTTTTCAGGTGGAAAAACAATACAAACATATAAACAAATTCTTTTAGTTTAAATTTTTGGCCGAAAAATCGCTTTTTTTCTATTTTAAATGTGAATTTGCGAACTTTTTATGTTCAGAAATTGTAAAAAACGGTGTTTTTTTCTGCCTCAAACCTACTTTTCCTCAACCATAATTCCCTGTGTCATCGCTCGTCGACAGATGGTCGCATTCAATTCCGCCGAGAACAGCGGAATCCCGAAGCTCACATCAACTACGAGCAATTCGGGGCTCCTGAAAACGTCGATTTTTCCTAAAGTTTGACCCACTTCGCCTCGGCGCCATCCTCAGATTTTGGCAGCTCTTTCTTTGGCACCAATGTGATGTAGCCGCACATCCTGTCCAAGTTCAACCGCTCCTGCAGTTTGATAATCGACGGATGTGACGTGTAGGCGTCTAAACGATACTCACATTCCTTTAATCGAAATCATCCTCTCACCATTCTCCTTTTCGCCATCAAACGGAAATGGGACGTGAATCAGATGATCTTCCCACGTCTTGTGCCACCATTCCTGAAATTCCAAATTCTTGCAAACAAATTTCGGGCTACGCACCTGTACAAACAACGGGGTCGTTGTGAGCAGGTCATTGATCAGGGAGAGTGCCGATCCGGCGGTCACCACCTGGGGCTCATGGGAGAATGAGGAGAGCAGGAGGTGCGAGGTGTTGGCTAAAACTCGCGGAATGTAAAAAAGAGGAACTGGACTGTTAGCGGGGGAGGGGTTTCCTTGCACGCCCTGTTATTCTAGTGATAAAATATACGCATTTCAGCAGATTTTTAGAGTTTTTAAGTATTGAAAATAAAAACTATAAAATTGTAAAAATTAAATTTTTGCATCTATGAATGATAAAGAAGTTTTTATGGATTTGTAATACTAAAAAACTGTTGAAAATAAACAAGAAAACCATAAAGATACACTATAAAACGGTAAAAACTTGGGTAGCTGCCCCCCCGCTAACACTCTAGTACCAAAAGACCCACCCAACCAAGGCGGAAGCCGGGAAACCCGCTCTCCACGCGGGAGAAACAGCGATGATGGCCCCGATCCGCAGAGGTTGTAGATGGAAAGCCGGAACCAGGCAGAACACACCTGGATATTCAGTTATTTTTAAGATTAATGTGTTTACCTCAGGAATAGGAGGCCCGAGAAACGGCAAAGATGAAAGCGGCAGGGTACATCCATCAGCTGATAATGGAGCCACCGCCACCGCAAGGCTAAATTATATAACATTAATTATCTAAAATAAATCGAACATTACCAATAAGCCTTGTGCAGAAGCCGAGTGCGACTTTGGGTATCGAGCGATAACAGACTCTCACCACGAATCATGTCAACCTAAAAATGGAAACAAGGTATTATAGCTGAAAAGTGTTTATCTACCTCATGCCCGGCGCCTTTCAGCTTTTTCAACAAGTCCAGGAGTCCGGTTGCATGCAGCGAATACCGTGCAGCCTCCCCTTCAGCGAAACGATTGACCTAAAATGTTATTTTCCAAGTTTATGTCGTCCGTTAGAAAGCCGACCTTTTCAAGGAGGTCCATAAAATCGCGCAATTGGTCATCGCCAAGCTTGCCGACCTCGAAGAGCGTGACGGCATGGCCTGAAATTTGGAGAAAGGTAATTAAAACACGTATAACAAAAGAGAAAATAAAAGATATTACTCAATGAGGTAAAGAAGTAAAAGTAAAATCAATTAAAATATGGCTAACCTTTCAAAGCTGTGCTCAAATTGCCCATCATCAGGAAGGCGGTCAGCGTCGAGTCAAAAACAAGAGCCACCTTTCCGGCCCCGGAGGCCGTTTCAGCAGTTTGAGGGGCTGACATCTAAATTGTCTTCCGTGAAGTCGTCATTTGAACTCGTACAGTAGCCGGTGACTGAGAATCGCGAGGGGATACGGCTCGATCCTCATCCTCCTCTTCTTCACCCGTTAAAGCCGCCGACAGCTCGCCTAATCCGGTTGACAACGACAAGAGGTCGTCCCTGGAAGCAAATTTTTGGTGCTTTGCGTTTTCGGGGCGGGGGCATTCTTTTCTGAAAAATGCAGAAATGCCTAATAACGTAAACGTAAGTCTTTTAATGCCGCTATTTAGCAAAATTGAACTATATTTCAATATAAAAACTCGAAAACCGGCCATTTTTCGTCGAAAAACGTAACTTTTCTGTTTTCTGGAATGAAAATTTGTAGTTTTTACGCTTAGGCATAGCCAAAAAAAACAGCTTAGACATATTTCCTAGATTTATCTTTTCAAATGGAAAAAACTGCCGCCCCGCCCCCCCCCCCTTTAATACGAAAGCACCGATTTTGTGTGTATCATAAATCCTTACTGTGTATTTGAAGCTGTCATCGTCGCACCGGAAATTGTCCTTGTTGCCCATGACGAATGCATACGGATCCCTTAAAAGCTCATTAATCTCATAAAAAATACAAACCTTCAATCCCGGTGACCCGCTTCCTGGCAAAACCAAGCCGACAGAAGAGGGATATCGCGTTCTTCACCAGTTGCAAATCAATGTGCAGCATTTCGGCGATCTAAGACAGAAGACTTAGTAATTCGATTTTTAACTATTTGATTATTAATCGCCATAATTTTTATAACTAAACCCTAAAGAGCCACCTCGTGCACCGTCGTCTGATCGTCGATGGCCACAAAAATCTTGTACAGCAACGTCTCGAAGTAGTCGCCCAGCACGCGGTTCATCACGAAACCGTCCAGAGGGGCAACTGAAATATTTAATATTTCAAATAATCCTATTAACTATTAATTATGCCTGTAAACGGCCATACCGTATACGTAATCATTTTCGGAGACTGGTACATCGAAATAAACGAGGCCCGCGTTGAAAAGTCGCTGGATCAGGCCAAGATCTTGGGTGGCGGCGATCTAAAAAAAGGCAAACCTCGGCAAATTAATTCCCAAACTTACTTGTGGGCCCTCATCAAGCAGTAGATCTACCAAGGCTCGTTCCAACGCCGGTAAACTCTACAAAAATATGTTTAAAAAATAGTATAGCGTAAATTAGCTAATCTTTACTTAAAGAGAAACCTTGACATCGGCCTCCAGAATACTCCCAGGGCAGACGAGCCACCATGGCTCGATGCTTATCTGAAACCCATTCGGGATTAAAGACCTAAAAAATTTCACATTGACTGGCTTCTGGGGCAACAGCTCTCGAATTGGCTTATTGCGGCGGAAGAGGCGCCGATTTGATCTGAAAATCAATGTAAGATTCAAACAAAACAAATTCTGTCGATCTAATTTTTAATATTCAAGATCACTAAATAACATACTTGTTTTGATTCATAATATCAATATATTGATTGCGCCCAATCCCCAACAGCCGCACTGCATCTGCGGCCGTGAAATTCGGCAGCGAGTCGTACGATTTCTCTGCGGCCAGCATCTCCTAAAAACGTTAACTGTAGCATAACAGATTGTTTGATCTACCATAAATATATTTATGTAATAGCTGAACGGGGTCGTGCGCAGCTCGCGGACGATGATATCGGAGAGATGGTAAGGGAAGAGCATCACATGGCTCTCCGAATATTTCATCACAATATCGTAGTACATTTCTTCGCTCTTTTTCACTTGTCGAACTAAAAAAATAGGGGTTTACAATTTTATTGTCAAATTACTCTTTACCCACCTAGATTTCCTTTATAGCGCAATTGGTTCCGGACACTGTACTCGAGCACAAGCTTGTCGTACTCGCGATTTGAGGCGCCGAGTAGAACCTAGATACAAAATTATGATAAAAACATATTTATGACTTTCTATTATCATCTTTTTTCGTGATAAACACGAATTCTTTGGGTTTTTCCCGGGTTTCTTGGGTTACTAGCTTTTTAGGTATTTCTTTCGAATCTGCCGATTTTTCTAGCCCGGCGAGCTTCTAGCTATAATGGATTTCCTGCACTTTGCCCGTTTTATTTTGCTTGAAATTCCTTTGAAAAATCCTTTTAACGATGACTCACAATCTCGGATTATCAATCTTTCCACAGAAATTTTATCTTGGTCTATTTTCTGGAATGAAATCTTAACTTTTTGCATTTTTTGCATTTTCTAGTTGTATTTTTATATATATCCAGTCTAAATTCTGACCTGAACATTCTCCGGCAGTCGAGCCCACGGCACATTGTCCCGGATGTACGTCTCGATTTCCATTACCCTTCAATTCAATCAAAATAGTATCTTTCTTTCAATTTCAATTCAATTTTTTTCATTTTCAATCAAATTTTCAATAATCATCAGCAAAAGACTGGCAAATTCCCAACATAGGTATATTACAACTATTTATTATTATCATCCTGCTTTGCCCCGGTTCGACCAATTTGCCGATTATGCGTACGGGCCACGTGTAATTGAAGCCGATCCTGACGCCAAAATTTCGCTTGGCACTCTAGAAATTTTTTTTGATAATCTGAGGGCCACGGACCTTGAACCGGGCACTGTAACTGCTTCATCCCCAAATGTTCACGGAACACGTGCGCGTCCATGTTCTTTTTATCTGCATAGCAAGTGCCGCACTTCCGGCAAGCGTACGGTTTTTCGCCTAGAAAAAAATTTAAGTAGACGACGATGGCCCTACCCGTATGCGCCCGGATATGGCGTACCAAATTGCTCTGCACTTTGAAGCCTTGGCCGCAATACTTGCATTTATATGGGGTCTCGAGGGTGTGCATGCATCTAAAAACAACAATTCGTAAAACTCAGACTTGCGATACCTTATATGCTTCACTAGGGCTCCACGTTCCCGCGTCCTGTGCTCACAATAGTTGCATTTATACGGCTTTTCCATTAGTAGCTAGAAAAGAGGTAATTTTCAAAGCTCGGGACAAACCTGTTGCTCACCCACCACCAGAGGCACAATCAGCTGGCTGCTCGTGCAAATTTCGGGAATTTGCCTACAATATTCTTTCGTCCTTTTTTGTATCTTGACCTACCCATCCGAGACCACATCCCTCTTTCGACGCCCAAAATTCGATGGCGCCGGGCTGCTGACTTGAAGCGCAGCGATGGGAGCTGAAAATCTCATGATTTTTTCGAGCCTGATAAATGATCATTACTGCAGCATTTGCCACTACCCACCTCCTTTCTCAATGATACACGCCGGGCCCTTGATGGTGAAGCTTGGACCAAGCCGCCTACCACCCGGCAGAGGCCGTATCCGCCTTGGGCCCATCACGAATTCGTCGTACAGCAAATGCTAAAAGGACCATGGGCTTTAAAAATCTAAACCTTACATAGTCATCTAGCGAATCAGGCTCTACACGGCTTGTCGATGGTCGTGGCTCGCATTCTTCAGAATCCGGACTGTCACCTAATTTTTTTCTATGAATTCTGCTTCGTCGACACCTACCTTTTCGAAAGTTATTGCGGCTAACCTCTGCGCGCCGTGGACCCCAAAAAGAATTCTACTAAAAGAAACTCTAAAAACCTGTTCTTGTAGCACGACATTATCGACCATGTGGCTTGGGCCTGGAGCTGGCTCCAAAACCAGAAACGGCGGGCTAGCTTCAACCCCGAGCCGCTCGTCTATTTTGGCTAATAGCTGCGGTATGTCCAAAGAAGCAGCGGCAACACGAAGTGTACGCAGGCTTCGACTCGGAACCCCTAGACGACCAGTGTACAGGAAATCGACGATCACTCGAAGGTCCGTCCTGCCAATGAATAGAATATAGGATGATAGTGCAAAATACCTGGAACCAATCCCCGTCGATAATGTCAAATCTTTCCTTCCATCGCCCCGTTCGAACAATTCGGCTAGCGGCCGGCTGAATGCTGCCATGATGCTTTTGTGGCAGGACAGCGTGATCCCGTCCTTTTATGATTTTTGTTTTCTACTGCTCTACTTGCACCCACTTTGAACTTCAACAGACAATCCGTGAATTTCGATTGTTTTCTAAATCGCTGAATGGCCGTCATCAGCTGTACATTGTGATTCGGGTTGATATAAGCATTTCCTAGAAACTAAATCCTCCTCATATTTTTGCCTACCTATTTGTGATTCTAATGCCGCTAGCGGTTCTATTTGTAACGCATTGGCAGCTTTGACGGCTTCTTCATTCAAGACAACATGCCCTGAATACATAAAGTCGAGTAGACTCTGAAGCTCCGAAGGTTGAACACCTGAAAACATTCGACGTATCTGCATCCAGCCTTTGATTCTCCTAGTTCCCATGGTTCCTCTCCCACCTGTAACGTCCGAATCAATATTCAGCGATATGTTCTCGGATTGATGCACCCCATGGAGGGCCGCCTCGAAATGTGGGCTAAAGGCCGCAAGAAGGATACGATGTGCACGGGCCAACGCTTTCCCATCACATGCCACCTCTACGTCAGTCGTGTTATCATCCTACAGAAAGTTGAGGCCATAAGCAAAGGGGGAACCGTGCGATGAGCCCGAAAGTGATCCAAAACCCGCTCCCCATGTTCGATCAAACACGAGTTTTCCACTTTAGCTGAAAATTCACTATATATTTCTTTTCTTTATCGATTTTTCCTACTGATTCCACTCATCCTTCCAATCATTAACAAAGCGGCTGTTCGATTCCATGTGGAAATAATGAGATGGCGTGTCATCCTGTCAATTCATGCTCAACGGTGATTCAAGCTAATTTATTCTTCAGAAAAGCACAGCGAAATAATCCAACGAAAACATATTTGTTAAGGCAAGGCAAATGAGCGGGGCATAAAATGAGGTCCTGTAGAAGTGAGATGAAAGTGCGAGTAAGGAATGGAAAGGCTGGTAGCAAATTGTTCTCCGATTATTGGTTCGTGCTGGGTCCTGTCAGGCTCTAAAGAAAAATTTTTGTGAATCGATGGCCTGCTCACCGATTGTGACGGTCGGGAGGACAGCTTCGGCTTCTTTTTCATAAAGGGCAAGCTGGCGAAGCTGAGCCGGCCCAAGACCGACTTGCCCTCTGAAGGGCCAGTTGTTGTGTTGTTTTCTTTGTTATCGATGGCCTCGGCGAGAAGAGCCGGGGGCGGCGGCACTGAATAGAGAAATGTATTCATTTACAATTCGGTACTGGTACCCGGGGGAAGAATTGGGGGGCCAACTTTTTTGGGCGGTAGGGGGGGAAATAAAATATAAAGTTTATTTTAGCAAAATTTAAGCCTATTTGGACGGAAAATTTTAAAAAGTAGGAAAAAGAAGGTCGAAATTTGCCGAAAAAATCGATTTTTCCTAAAATTAAATTTTGGTGTTTTTAGTTTGTCTATAAAAATTAAAACACTTCACTATTTATATAAAAATCTAGGCTTGGGCCAAAAAAGTTCAGTTCCCCCATCTTTTTCCCCCGGAAACAAAGAACGAATTTACTTACATCTACTCTTCCTTGGAGGCGGCAGTGGAGTCTTCTTGTTCTGTTGCGGTTTCTCTTCCTCGGCCTCTGCCACGTCCTCATCGATTGCGGGCCAGAGATTTGAGCCGTCGATACTAAGAAAGGAAATACGGCTGATCCTGCAGATACATACCCATTGAACGAAACCGTCATGTCCTCGGGCACCGCGACATTGTCGTCCATTTTACCGACGGATACCTCTGACATGCTGCGAGAGTCCATTCTGCTGCTCTCGGCCCGAATTGGCAATTCGGGAACTCGGAAAAGACAGTCTAAAAGAAAATGTCTCAGCCGTCCTTATTTCCCTACCGCCATCGTTGGTAGATGCCATCGAAAGGTCAAGCTTCGGGAATTCCAAATGGGCCGCTGATTTCGACGACTTTCCGCCAAATTTCGTAAGGCTCTTCAGCGATTTGGTGCTTCGCATGAAGGGAATCTTTCTGAAAAACAACAGAATGAGAACGAAAAGCAAAACTCACGATTTCTTCTTCAGAGGCGTCGACGTGAATTTGGGTGTGATCATTGAGCTCTTCACACGCTTCAGCAGTGAGAATCGAGACTTTGATGTGGACGGCGAGCGATCGGAAGAGATCGAAACGGCTGAGATGGTCGATGCGCGTCCGGTGACCGGCAGCGGCATCTCGGCCCGTTGGTCGTCCAGACGATTGCCCATCTTCTCGAGCATTGCGAAAAAATCGTCATCGTTGCCCCGTTGGATGAGTCGTGGTTTATTCTAAGCAAAAAATGTTTAGATAAGGAAACTATAACTTACCGCATTACTCACACTCTGATCGTTACTGAGCGCTGACGGTGTGTCAAGACGTGTCGTATCAGAGGCCCCACTAAAAAGAATCATTGAATTTCGAACCATCAATTAGAATATTATTTTTTCACAGTCGCTGAAAAGTAAAAAAACGTACCAAGCGCTATAGAGCGATGGCTCGCTACCGTGTAAATAAACCGAGCGTAGAGATTCGGAAAGGATGACTTCGATGGGATCCTTGTCAAAAGAAGAGTCCAGTACCAGCTTCCCGTCAGAAATCGCGACCTGGCCGGTCTGTTTCATTTCATAGAGCTTCTCGTGGGCCTCGCTCCGAGCTGTGTCATCGCCAACCTAGAGGAAATCATAAAAAACTCCTCAATTCAATCACCTTTTTCGCCAATCTTCGGTTGACTGCGTAGAAATAGGCTGCGCTGGGATATGAACAGGCGGTCGCCTGCAATTCGGCCAGCTTTCGATAAGCTTTTTGTTGGCCGGCCACGTCGCCCTCCATCTTGAATTGGTCCTTGCACTTGTTGAGGTAGAAGCGAGCTAAATAACGAATTTCCGTTTCATGCTAAGATATACCATCGTCGTATTCATTGTCTTCTATAAAGGCGTCGCTCATAGACATGTAGTGTAGGGCCATCGCTCGGTGATCATCCAGCTCGGTAGCTATGGACAACGCTTGACGGTAGCATCTAAATTTTAGAAAATATTTTTGAGAAAAGCCGGCCATTCAGAAGAATATAAATACCGCACTTTATCGCTTCTTTCGGTTGTCCGGTGGCCAGATAGATGTTTCCGAGTGATCCATTAGTGCGTCGCTGTGCAGGCTTGTCCCTTAGGCTATCGGCTATCGCAAGGCGCTAAACGAACGTCCAAAAACGAAAAAAAACAACTGTTCACCTCTTCGTACAGCTTTTTCGAGCCCTCAAAGTTGGATAGCAAAAATTGGCATTCGGCCAGATCGCCGATAAGCGATCCTATCCCGTCCAAATCTTGTCCGAATTCGCTTTCCCGGGCGATCACAAGTGCCATTTCCAATTTTTGGATGGCCGCTTCAAAGAGCGACGTCGCTTGTGGACCAATAGCGCCATCGGTTGGATTCTTAAAAAGAATTAAGCGACCAATTCGTTCATTACCATTAAAACGTCATATTGGTCCTTCGAGGCCTTTCCCTTCTTTTTGAGGAGATTTCCCAAACAACTTAGTGCGTCACATTCAAGCTTCTAAACGTAACATTAACAACATTTCGAAACCACAGACCTTGTCTTGGATGACGGCGGCCAACCGGATGGTATGTTCATAATTGACCACAGCCTCATCGGAACCGACATCGATCGCCTGTGCCATTCCCGCGATCTCGAAATAAACCGACGCTTCGGCATGCTGATTCCCTTGAAGCGCATACAAATCGCGAAGCTTCCTCAGCATCCCAATAGCCTTATGTCGTGCATCAACCCTGGCGGCTCGTTCTCGCTCATTTTTGGCCTTTTCCGCGTAGGCGATCGCACACTAAAGATGTGGGTAAGAGAACGATGGCCGCGTTCCAAGATATATCGAAGGAAAACCCACCAAAAAATAAAGATCGGCGAGCAGATTGCTATCATTATGGGCGACGGCGAGGGCCTGAAGCACAAGTTCTATGCTTTCATCGATGAACCCGTCTCGCAGTCGTATTTCGGCTTCTGTTCTCAGCTGATCGCATCGTGCCAGAGGGTCAGACATGCCCTGAAATGTTGAAGGGTGAGGTCATGGGCCATAAGAATTCTGGGAAGAGGGAATATCGCAACTAAAGGTGTAGATTCACATAAAGTCGTCAATTGCAAAGGTTCTTGCGGAACGCTATAAAGAGAAATCCAGCGCTAAAAATGCTCTTGTTAGCCCCTCGAAATTCAAATTTACTACCCGCTTCTTTCCAGAAAGCGCGCGTGGTGGCTCCCGGATCGCTTTATGAGAGCCTGCTGCGTTCAACATTCTTAATTTGCTTAAAATTAACTTCACTAACTTTATTATAAAAACTAAACACCGGAAACGGTTACGCCGCGTTAGAAGTTCAAAAAAGCTTCGGCGCTGGCATTCGGCCAGAACGCCCAGATTGTGGTGCGTAGCTTCATAAGCTTACGCGAGGAAATTCGGAGCACCCAATTTTTTCTTTCAATCGTTTTGGTTTTATTTTCTAACTCGGTTTGTTTTGGGGAAGGAAAAAAAGCAAAATAAAATAAGAAGGAAGTGTTTATTTGTCGATATAATCTAATTTCACTAAATCCTTTCGCTAGTCCGCTTTTACAACAATTCCATGCTAAAAAACGTGATTTTTCCGATCACTTTCCAATATGCTCATTATCTCAAACTTAGAACTTTTCGATCGTTACAATAAATAATCATTTTAGGAATGTCGTTCGGCGGCTGGAGGGGCCTGCCCCCAAATCGACCCCCAATGAACTTCGCTGCACAGCCAATGGCCTACTTCGGCAACTATGGTCTACAAGACAACCAGGTCGGCCCAATGCGGCCCGATCATACATGGAGACGAGGAAGGGGCCAAGCAGTGCGTGGCCCGATGGCTGCAAGGGCGCCGTTCTGGGGACCAAGCAGGTGCGCAACTATAAAATTGCCAATATCGGCTCAGGGGCCGCGCTAGACCGCCACCGCCGCCTCCACATGCTCGTGGCATTTTGCCACCTCCTTGGCATAGGTGAGCAGCTCTTGAATTGCAAAATCATATTATTTAGGCCACCAATTGCCGATCGTTATTCCGAGTTTCGCGCCTACGAGCAGTTTGCGCCATTCTTCAAGGCTCAGGATACCACACCAAGTTCTTTGAATACCTTGCCTTCAAAAGTTGACCGCGACGTTCAAGCAAGGTGGGTGGGCTGGTTTTAAAAAAAATGGAAAGTCATAAAATTTTCAACAGATAATTGCATCCCGAAACTTTTATTTAGCTGGCGATCCTACTCGAATTTTGTCGACTTCGGAACGACCCATCAGACGCTCGACTGGAAGTTTGAGATTAGCGCACGGAATATTGACATAAGCTGGACCCCGCCCGATGTTGCAGGTAGATCAAATAAATTACGTAAAAATGGTTTTAGTCGGAGTTCGATACACCTATTGGTTGAATGTCGACGGTGATAAAGATCTGTTCAATTTCGAGATGCCTTGGCACAAGACACGTCATTCAATAAGAACCACTCCCGGTGCTGTATATAAGGTTGACCTCCTTTGCCTCGATGGAGTATTCTTTTTCAGGTGACGTTAAGTTGCCGCTCACAAGAAGGCCGTTTACTAGCCCAATCTCAAAAAGAAGTAAAAGCAGGTAAGTCTTCCAAGTACGATTAAGCCTTTCAGTTTTCTCGCTGGCCGAGCTGAAGAAGTTACATCATCGAGCTGTGGAAGTGAATGGGAATGAAACGCACAGCTTTCGCTGGTTGTACAGGTAGGTGGGTGTTTTTTGTTCTAATTTGACAAACTAGATGTAAACCGGAGCGTTATTGGCAAGATATCTACACGAATTGTCACGGCATCATGGAGCCGTATGCTAAAGACAACAACGGGCAACCAGCCAATGCCATCAACGGCGCCATTTCTGGTATTTTCAGCGCGGCTTTTTGTGAAAAGTAATTTTTAGGTCTATTCTTCTCGGCAAGGTTGTTTAATGGTGTTATGTCGGGGACGAGTCCGTTTGGTGACCGCCGGTTTCGGATCGAAGCCCCGTTTTTGTTGGACGACTCGAAACACACGTAAGTGATTCGGAAAAAATTTGGGTGGATTTTTTTAAATGTCGTAATTCTGAATACGTACTTTATTTTGACTGGATTGTTTATTTTCAATCGAGTAATAGGACAAATGCAGAAATAAGCGACAAAAAAAAGAAAAATTTAGGATGTATTTCGCGGATTTTTACTGCAACACTGCGCTGCACTACGTTACAATCGTCGTCTGCATTCGAGATTCTCCAACTGACATGTGGGCAATTTGATTTTTAAAAAAAACCTGTGTTTTTGCAGCTATTGCTCGACGCGCCTAATCCGCTTGAATCCGGCTACCAACCCATTTATCCGAGTTCAGGCTTGAGTTTTTTTGCTGTGCTTTAATATCCATTTTTAGTACTACCCGCCAAGCAAGAATCTACCCGACGGCGGCCAGGAATACTTTGTCAACAAGGTTTTTTTGGTTTATGGTGGTAAATTAGCATTTTTTTAGAATGTTTGGGTAGAAGTGTTTTACGCTGGTTCCGTGGATATCAATCGGCGGCCGCTGGACCCAATCCAAGCGACTGGTAGCTTTTAATTCGCACCTTTTTCTATTTTTATTTCTAGGAATGGGTACATCGCGGATAGGAGGACTTCCAAATAATAAGTACTGCGAAATTTGCAACCTCTACCCGGTCGCGAAGCCCGGATCGGCGACTGAGAAGGGATCCGAGGTATTTGTTCTCTGGGGGGTATAAACCGTTTGCTTTAGAAGGAGTGCCACTACACTGACCCAAGGGAATCTACGATCGTTCTGTGCAACTCACTCACAGATGTCAAGGTATCTATCTTGGTATTAAAATATCCTGCAAAATTAAAAATGGCTTTATAAAAACAGCTTTTTCCGGGGCATAGCAGGGTTTTTATCTAACAAGCGGATGCGTTTGTAGATATCTTTTATCTTCTCGAGCATGCAAAACTACAAATTTTGGTTCTTAAGGATTTGGGGGGAACCATTTTTTCCTAGCGGTCCCGATTGGCCTACTAACCAAATATAAAGTGTTTTTGACATGTTTTTCGTAAGTTTTAGCCATATTTAAAGTAGAAAAGCTTTCAAAAAAGTGAAGTCGAAAATTTCGTCTTTTTGGGGTCGAAAAAATAAATTTTTCTACCTAAAATTAAAATTGTATAGTTTTTATGCTTAGGAATCATTAATAACAATTTAGAAGCGCATCCGCTATTCATAAAAAAATTTCGGCATGTGCCGAAAAAATTTGTTTACTTTGGTTGATTACCAATCAACCTGGTTGCACTGGAAAAAATTCGGCGCCGCGAATGCTCAAAAGCCTTAAATTCTGTTATTTTTAAATCAATTATACTAGACAAATGTTTGTACATTGTCAAGGTAAATCCCCCATTTTTAGAAAGAGCTCGGAGATTTGTGGCCGGATGCGGTGGACACCGTCTGTCATTTGGTCAACCAGACGTGTGAGATGATGGAGAACGATTTCGGTGTGGCTGTAAGTATCTCTACATCTTTTTTCACTTGTTCTATCTTCTCAGGATGCGCAACAACGCTCTGCAGAACGAATGGACAACGCCATGGCGGTGCTACAGCGCGAGATTGAGAAATGTCAGGATGTTGAAGTATTTTGTTCAATTCTGTTCAAAAATGCAATTTTTGCAGATCCTTGCATTTGCTGAAGATCTTCGACAAGTTGTTAGTAGCTTCAAGATGCAGCGAAAGGTAGTTTTGAGGCCCGTTTTATAGTTTGTTTGGATTCAGGTGGTGATGGATCTTCTCAACAAAAAGAGCCAAGAGATTGACGTGACGACCGACATTTCACAACGAAAAATAGCGGCCGCGACGCGAAAGAGATAGTTCTTCCCTTCCCCCCCCCCTTTTTTTTTGCTTTTAGCGGTGCCGATTTAATGTTGAGGGCTTGACAACTAATGCATATGTGATGGACGCACGGGTGTACTTGTTATTTATACTATTTTTACATTGCTTGCATCTTTTGTTATAAAGATTTCTACGTCGTGACTGGAGTATTCGACCAGCAGTTTTAATGCGATACCTGAAAGGCTGGCCGTTTGCAGTTAAATGAAGTTTGTTAGATGGAAAGATTCCGAAAATGGGCTACAGCTATGAAGATTAAAGCACCCGGCGTAAGGATAGACGAAGCCGAACCGGTAAATACCATTGGTTCTCATCACGCGAATTCAGGGAGCTGGCTATGGGGTTTTTGCGAACGAGGTTCATCTACCAGAATCCCTGATGATCCGAATGCCGCATAGCGTTTTGCTGACTGCCGGATCGATCGCCGATATGCCGAAATACAAGAAGATGCTTGACGATTTTAGGTGAGAAACGCATAAATAAGCTTCGAGCAGTCCGGTTTTAGCCAAAAGATGGCGCCATTCGAGATTCTGACGTTGTTCTTCTGCCTCGAAGAGTCAAGCTCTTCAAAATACGGACCGTATTTGGATGTTTTACCCAAGGTACTGTAGTTCTATGAAATAGACCTTCGTGCCTTTGTAGAAATTCGACACCCCAGCCGCAGATGGAATTCGTTTTGATCCGGCAGAAGTAAAACTAAGCCATTTAGCTGAACGATATTTAGATCCCGCAATCCGCGAGGGAATTTTATAAACTTCAGCTGAAAGAGCTGGACGTTGTTTGGGCAAAGGTTGACCTGGCCCTTAAGAAATGGGAAACTTTGTTTAGCTAACACTTTTCGCCGAAGAACTCTCAATGCCGATCACGCACGAGAAATATTTGTGGGCTTGGCACGTAGTGAATACAAGGTTTTGCTTTTGTATGTTTTTGAAAGTCCGTTTAGGTGTATTTATCTGGAAAATCCGACACATCCACTGGTCGACTCTACTGATGGTGACACGTTGGCGGTGATCCCTTTTGTAGATATGCTGAATCATACGCCAACTGCTCAGGTGTGCAGTTTTTCCAGGCCATTAAAATTTTAGGGCTTTGCCTTCTACGACAAAATTCGGAATGAATACTGTCTGCGTGCGACGAGAACGGTCAATGAAGGAGACCAGGTTTTCTTTCTCTTTTAGATTTTTAGTATTTCTTTTAGATTTTTGTCTGCTATGGCCCACACGACAACGTGCGATTATGGATCGAGTATGGCTTTCGATTGTCGGCAAATCCTAATGGCAAAGTCTCAATACCACAAGGTTGGGTTGGTGCTGGTGTTTTTGAGTGGTTTTCAGAATTGCTCGTCGCTTTGGCCATGAAAGCAGGCGTTGAAGTCTCGGATCGACATGTGAAGGCGCTAGAAGAAGCCGCGCAACCCAGGTTTGCATTAGTTTTGATACTTTTATCATGATTCTCTAGTACGATCTACGCTTCTGACGAGGGCCCCAGCTGGTCGCTGCGCACGAATATGCAGATTCTGTTGATGCCAAAGGCCGAGCTGTGAGTCTTCAGCACTTTTTTAGCCGTTTTTAAGGATCTAATTATTAAAACTTAAATCAAACAATTTTTAGCAAAAAGTGGAAGGACTACGTGTACGCGGAAGACAATAGAAGACGGAGACTTCGGACACGATATCAAGAAAAGGATAGCGACGACGAGGATGAGCAGAAAGACAATGAAGACTCCAAAAGGGAACGACGTGAACGGGAGGCGCTTCGGAAGATGCTTGTCGAGTTGGCGATGTCGGTACGAAGCAGGGCGGAAAAGGTGAAGCTTTCGTATCTCTCGATTTCCTAGTTTCAGGTCGATCCTCGGCTCACTTGGGCTTGGATCGAGCAGGCCGAAATCGTGGACGTTGCGGCGAATTCGTTGTTATAACGCTGTTCGTTCGGTGTTGTTATTAATTGCAAATTTTGTTGGCGTTTCTACGTTGATAAAGAGTGTAGGGACTTCATGGTCTTTTTTTGTGGCTATTTCGAGTTATCGGGGAGGGTGAGTTTTTTCATTTGCCTAGTAATGAAATAGTAAGTGATTTTAACACTGTTTTCAGTAAAATTAGTTGATTTCAAGCGCGAAAACAGTGAAAAAAATAGAAATATGTAGCCGAATTTTTGGTCGATAATTCGAAAGAACCTTTTTTGTAAAAGACTGCTCCGATTTTCGGTTCTCGAGACCCCCCAGAAACACGAACGCAACAAAATCCAATCGCACAACCACATATTCCTCGAAAATTCGGGCTGACATTCCCGGCGGGACCCCCATTGTCTTCCAGAAGCCCGGGGATGGGCGATGCTAATTCCATTTGGGGCTCCCCCACCCTGTCCCCACAGCACCCCCCCAAAATGAGCCGCCAAAGCTATACACAGCTTCTTGGAGACGGTGGGATGGCTTCGGAATTGGGTTTGTATGCCGGAGCTTCTGCGGCAAACGGTAAAAATATGGAGTGTAGGAGCTAGGTAGCTTGGAAATCATTTAAATCGATTTTAGTACGAGAGAGCTTCACCGGAACAGAAGAAGCCTGGCAATGCGGTACTTTACTATTAGCGGGGGTCCTAACTTTGGCCTATCGCCGCGTTATGGTCCCAATAATCAAATATGCGTCATTTTTTAAAATTTTTAGAATCCTTTGGAAGTTCTCTCTAGAATGCTCGGAAGTATATACTACGTGGCTTCCCCCCCCCCCTCCCCCGCTATCAGTCCAGTACCAATAAAGGCCACGTACTTGGAATCTACGACGAATTATTCCCCCAGGAAGCCAGATGCTCCTTGAAGGTCGGGTGATACTCAATTTTCAAGGTTGCCTGCCCCTTTTTTGCGGATGGTGCATTGGATGGGGCAGAGGAGGGGAGGGGGACCCCATAAAATGGTCTTTTGTGCCCTGGGAAGGGTTGGAGCCCATCTTCTATTGGTTGGCCCGTGCATCATGCAAAGCGCTCGCTGCCAGTGAATAAATTTCCGCGTTCTATTCGTTGGTCTTCTAATTTTATTACTAATTCTATTTTTTTTGCTTTTATTTGGTGCAGTGCTTCCTTACCATTTACCGTAGTGGTTCCCGTTCTGGACTGTTAGGGGGGGGGTCACGTGGGGCAACAGGTTCTTGGCGTTTATGGTGTATTTTATAATATGTGTAATTTAGTGGTTTTTATTACTAAATTTCGTGCAAATTGTTCCAGAAAATCTTAAAAATTTGAATGTTTGGCTATTTTTCAACATTTTCGCAACTTTATGCATTTTTTATAACTTTGTCACTTGAAACCAACGTAAAAAAACTATATAGTAGTTGTTTTTATTACTAGGGCACTGCGCCCCCCGCTACCGCACCAGCACCCAAAATTTTGCGCTTATTTTTATTTATTTCTGGCTTCCTTTTTTTGTTTTTTTTAGACCTTTACAGTAGTCACCCCAGGGGCCAATCCCTTGGGCTTGGCTCCATTTGTCAGCCTGGGTTGGCCCCCATTTCACGCTTCTGCCTACCCGCCGACCCGGATATCAAGCCGAATACGGGGTGGATGCCCATCTCGCCGTCCATCCACATCAATCTCTGCTATACCAAGGGATTCGCCACAATTAGCCTTTGGCCACCATACACAGATTGATGGTCGGCACACCTCGGATTGACGCTCAGCAATCAAATTATTTTTCTGGTAACGTAAGAAGCATCTGGAAATTCATAGGTTTCTTGGCTAATTTTATTACATAGCTAAACTTTCCATCTTTAAGGCGGCTGCCTGCTGCACTTAAAGGAGTCGATTAGAATTAAAGATTAGATAAGTTCGATTAGAAACGTCACATTTTCATAACTTTTCTAGTTTCCGAGCGATCAAAAACTGCTAAAACACAAGTAAACACGAATTCCCCGCTTTAAGGGAGGCACCAAAGTTTGTTCATTATTTTTTTAACATCCAACTGTCTTGAATACCTTGAATGGAATTCTTGAATCTAGTTTTTTATGTTCATTTTTACGAGCTATGATCTTGGGTAGCCTAACGCGCTCTGCCAGCTCCGCGCGCTAATCGGCAATTATCTAGCTTCAGAAAGGAGCGCGGGTTATAAGCATAACTTTTCCATCATTTCTAGATCCTAGCCTCGAATTTCTCAATGGATAGACACATGGTCGTGTCGAGTACTACCGACATTCCAGAGAAATAAAAGATCTTCCATCTTTCGAAAGACAGAAGATGTTGAAGTGGGTCGAAATATGGCCGCCCCGAGCACCTTGCGTGTTGTTCTCCCCCCTGGCCGCTCATCGTCATCGATCTGAAGCCACCGGGCGGGGGAGGCGACAAACCATCTTTGATTTTATGCCCGTCTTCGTATTATAGATTGGCCCCGGGCACCATCATAACCTACGCCTAGGTACGGCTGCATACCGGTAGCCCGGATTTTGTACGAAATTGAGGATTTTTGTAGGTGGTATTCAAAATCCGGGATTTTTTGAAATCGACGTAATTTGTCGGCATCGCGGAATATAAGAATCGCTAATAGCACAGGCCAAAATCCCAGATCTCAAAATGGAAATCGAAAAAAACGGTTAAAAAACTTTTTTGTAAAGCGGGGTCTTAATTAGAAGATTGGTATTGGAAAAAAGAAAAAAAGTTTTTTTTTTTTTTTGTGTTTTTTTCACCGCGTTTTAATTTTTTTTTTTTTTTTTACGATTTTAGGCTGTTGAATGAATAAACTTTTTGAAAAATGCCCGATCACGTCAAAATCCCTGATTCCGACGGTCCAATCAAAAAAGCCGGATTACGCAGAAAATCCTCGATTTCGTAGAATATTACGGTTACCGACACAGCGCCCAACCTGTTATGTATAGTGTTCCGAAACGACAACCCAATAAACCCGACTTTTTTCGGGGTCCCCAATCAAAAGCATGCTTCTCCTGGTGGTGCTCCTCCTCCTCGTCCTCCCCTTCTTCGTCTTCTTCCATTCCCTTCGACGGG